AATTGTCTCAGCTAGCTTATTATCAGTATAATATCAGCAGTGGTACAATTTATCGTCATTAGTGTAGTAGTGGTATCAGTATCAAATGACGATTATCCGGTCCCCCTCCGGAACAATCCCACAGGACAAAAAGGAAATAATGTTACGCTTAGGGGCGGCCAAACGGAGCCTTAGAATCATTCAGTGGTAATTTTGGGTATTGCAGGATCTTGATGGTTATTGCTCGGGCTTTCGGTGACCGAATCCCCCGATATTGCATCCCGCTTATATTAGTTGCGGGGGACAGCCTTCTCTATCAGCATCAGATATAGCAAAAGTGACCCCTCACTTTATCTTCATCAAGGACGACGTTCGGCGTGAACAGAAACTGGCCAGGTCGACGTGTATAGTACGCACATCCTTACACTCTTCTTCTCCACACGCTGCTTTCCGCACGACACTCGGCCACTCAGCACTCGCAATGGGCTCGACGGCCCTCCAGAAGCTACCGAAAGTCTTGATGCTCCATGGGTCAGAACTTTTTTTTTTTTTTTTGCTGAAACACGTATGGTCCTAGCATAACTGGCCACATTGGCCCATCTCTCTATTAATTTCGCCGCCAACCCTTATTCAGATACAGTTGAGTAGACATTTCCATTCTTGAGACGTTGGGCACAGACCGTGGAATCATTATAGAAGCTGACTAAAGGGTAAAAAAAAAAATGTTATTTTCCCAGCACAGAATGCGTCCATCTTGTCCAAGCGACTAGCCGCCATCCGTAAAGTTTGTCAAGGGGAGTGTGAAATGGGTATGTGGCCATTCAATTTTTGTTGAACGCGAGTGGTCTCCCAGAGGAATGTGGGGAAGGGAAGATGGGAGGTAAAAAACGGCTCACATTACCTGCTTGGTTTTCAGTGTTTGTCGATGCGCCTTTGGTGATCAATGTCCCAGACGCCACGGGCGACGACCTGAACAAATACGACTCTGCGGCTGTTGCAACTCACACCCCAGGTCAGATGAAAAAAATGCACGGTCCCACATCTGCGAAAATTTTGTTTTTCCCCCATGCCATACTAAAGTCATCTACTTACCTCAGAGACTGACCCGGCTTTGATACCCAGAGCTTGGTGGAGAGTCAAAGAGACCACGGATGGTGCAAGCGAAACACGGAGGGTTTATGAAGGTTTTGATGGTCTGTACTCACTTCCGTTGTCTCGATTGACTACAACTCTGACCGTTGTTTCTTATTAAACGACATATACGTTTGTAGAATCGATGCGATTCATAAGACGGGTAATTGACGAGCAAGGCCCGTTTGATGCATGTTTCGGATTTTCTCAAGGTGCGTTGCGGACCCTAATGTTCTAAGAGCCTCGTCGACTTGCGTTCCCGTCTGATCTCGAGGGCATCTCCTACTTCTCATTGATATCAGGGGCGGCGATGGCGGCGGTAGTAAGCTCAATCCTCGAGCACCCATCCTTGCACTCATCATTTTCGGAGGCGCCCTTGGCGGCACAAAAGCCATTCAAAGCAGCCATATTGGTAGCAGGATTCCGCGTGGACCTGCCCTCGGTATGGAACAAAGGCAGCGATGGAACATGCACCAAACTGAGCACCCGAAGCTTACACGTGATCGGCAATACCGATGTGATCGTTTCAGAAGGTATGGAACCCCCTTGTTCCACAGCAGCCAACCCAAAGATGCTGATGCTGAAGTGCTCAATGCATGCATGCAACAACCAGATCGCAGCGAATCGCTAGTCAACGTGTTCGAGAAGCCGCGGGTCGAACGGCACGACGGAGGTCACTTTGTCCCCTCCAAGAAAAGCTGGCGCGATTTCTTTGCTCTCTACATGCGGAGCATCCAGCAAGGAGACGATTCCCTAGTTCCCAGTCCTGGCCAGTCCCTGAAGGTCCTTGACGATGTGGCTAAGTTTTGATTCCTTCTTTAAGTACCTTTACATATCTCCTCAGTCCTTTCAATATTTTCCTAGCCATAAAATATAGATAATGTAACTCAGATTAGCCCTTACATTCGCAAGTTCTCAAGCACCCTCTAAGGCTTTCACCTTACCGCTTATTCTAAGATTCATATTCCTTGGCAGTCAGATTAACATCATGGCCCGGTTAGCTCAGTCGGTAGAGCATTCGGCTTTTATGGGGTTCATGTCCCGATGATACCGAAATGTCGGGGGTTCGAGCCCCCCATTGGGCGACTTTCTTTTGATGATTGAGGCTTCGTCTCACATGAGTGGGAAGGAATCCTTTTGCTGACGAGCTTAATCTAGCATAACTCATGCCCCCCTTCGGGACTCGCGAAGCAAGCCCCCGAAGGAAAGGCTTGCCACTCAAGTACCATATTTGGCGTGGAAGACGAAGTATTTTTCGTCAGAATCAGCCTTTTTGAGGTGCATGATCAAGTATGTAACTCGAGTCACGGAGAGTTGGGAACGTTAAGGGGGCAATCTTGGCTACCACTTGATCCATTCTGCTTCCCCAAAGTCAGGGAAATAGCCTGCCATCGTGACGATGGCAGTTGGTCTAGTGAAGACTATAATGTTCCAATACAGCAGCTGTCGTGCGTATGATGTCATAACAATATGTGTACAGCAACACAACAACCTCGTCACTTCAAATCCCTATAGAAGGGGTATAAAAGCCCAGGTAGTATGCAGCTCCGACATGTTGGAAGGCAAGATTCAGAAAGCCTATTCGATTATTGATAGTGGAGCTGAGAAAACAGTCATCAATTATCGGAGCCTCAACTGCCAGCCGGGCCTAACGAGTTTGTTTGGGTAGTACTCCTCGGCACCCGAGCACCGTTGGATCCTCTTGTGCAGCTCTAGTAAGATGTACAAACTCTCTGGGTTTTAGTACTGAGTGGAACGAAACACTATCCAAATTTGGCGAAGAACCCAGACCTTCGCGCATATTGGGACGCTGGCACGAAACGGAGCGGATGCGAATGTTTGCCCAAGCAGGCCCAAGAGGAGCCTTTCAGACAGATTATTGCTTTCGGGACCAGTGTATAAAGAAATAGTAGAGATAACAACACAACAACACGACAAGAGAGAAAGAAAAAGGTTGTGACTCTTCGTTAGGAAAGCAGCGAGGGTGTGTGGTGTTTTTAGACACATGCATCCACCATCTTTCCGCTCGTTGGGTCCATCTGTTGTGTCAGCTTGTGGGGGGCCGCACAAGAGACTAAAATTATACAGAAAGGAAAGCCAACAAGCAATACAGTGGATCAGAGGAAAGAAAAGAAAAAGTGAAAAAAGGAAAAGTCTTGCTTGACACTGGGAGAAGAAGGGGGGCTTACAGATCTTGCAGACACCGGCTTGGCAGCCGACGTTTGCGACATAGGACAAGGACAAACACTACGAAGGGGTCAGAAGAAGCACGACGAGGATGGGTGAGCCAGTAATATCGAGCAGGACGGAGGGAGCGAGAGGGGGGGGAAGAAGGGCCTCACGTCGTTACCACACCTCCCACAAGACGTGAGTTCCTCCTGGAGGTCAAGACATTCCCAGGCAGTGCCCTGGTTGATAGAGCACGCCGAGAGCGACCTCGGACACTTGGCCTGCGCCGATTCCGGGTCCAATTCGATCGACGCAATCCGTCGACGCGCGCCGCTCGAGGGCGTAGGGACATGCGGGACGAGCGGCGCGTGAGGCAGCACTTGGAACGTGGGCGTTGTGGGCTCGTACGACGCGCTAGGAGGCCGCACGGCCGGTAAGGCGACGTATGCCGGCGCAAGCATGACGGGGACAGGGGGCACGGGCGCGTGAAGGCCCGGCGTCATGGTCAGAGGTTCGTAGGAGTCGGGGCCAGAGCCAAGTTCGAAATGCCCAGGGCGGACAGTGCCGGAGTCAAAGTCGACCGGCAGGAAGGCGCTGGACTGGGCTACGTGCGGCTGTGCGAGTGAGGGAGCTCCGATCGTGGGAGTTATGCGGTGCAAAGTCGCGCTAGGAGGCTGGCCCGTGGCAGGATCGGCGGCCGGTCGACGGACGTACCCTGACTCGTAAGAGCCGGGTAAGACAGGCTCGTCAGCGCCAGATGCGAAATTCCCAGGACGGACAGTGCCGGGATGATACACGCCCTCCGGGATAAACAGGGTCGGCTCCGGCTGATAACCATGGGGCGGCACAGTCGCCGGCTCGTGTGTGGAGGACTTAGCGCCATCCGGCAGAAATGTCCCTTCAACGGTATAAACGGAAAGCGCGCCAAGCATCAGGACAATGATAGAGACGGAGTTCATCTTGTGTGTGTGTGTGTATTGAATTATTATTATAGGAAGCGGCAGCAGATGGAAGCAAAGGACAGAAGGGTAGGCTTAGAAGCGCGAAAGAGAGATTTTGGCTCGGAGCGTGAGCTACAGACGGTAAGGAAAGAATGTGATAATGATAGTTGCTGAGGGAGTGGGGGACAAGAACCTGTTCGCCGGGCAGCAAGTTATAAATAGACTTGAGACTGCTGAACATTTCTTCGGGCAATCTGGACGCTGCAGGAGAGTCAGCCAGAGGAACTCAGGCACCCCCCTCCCCCCATCTATCCAGCGGTTGGGTGTGGGTCCAACCGAGCGGACTAGTGGGTGCTAGCGAAGTCTGAGCCTCACCAACAAGAAGAGCGCTCGGCCCGGTCAATGCCCGCACTAACTGCCGGTCGGCGGGTGGTAGAGGGCGACCGGACAGGGGAGCTGAAATTTCCTTGAAAACGGCGAGGCCGCGTGTCTCTGAAGTCTCTTTGCAACCCTGAAGGCCTTGCAAGCCCAGGATGTCATGCCAGGACTAATTGTATAAACACTCGTGCACAGGCTTGTCTTGGTATGTTGCACGGCTGTCGGTTAGCCAAGACGCATCCCGGGATGTGTTCTTCGGTCCGATCAGAGATTACACACCGTCTGGTCAGAGCCGTGCTTCGGCTGCCCAGACCCGCAAATACCGGCGCGTTTTTTTATTTCAGCAGTCCCCAGCCGCCCCAATCTGCGCCACAATTTCACCGAGTTCATCTGGCACCCATTAATTTGTCAACACGCCGGAGCGAGAGAGCAGTGCTTGTGCATCGGTGCGTGACTTGCTGAACAACTCCCTATCAGCCAGAGCTCATGGAACTGACACCGGAAGGCGTCCAGTTTCAAAAGATGAATCAAGAGATTCTTGCCAGCTTGATCAAGAGAATCTCGGCATAATAGGAACAATGTTAGTCATGCTAAGCATGTTGGAGGATGCCCACGAGTAAGAGGCTGTACTGTTTAAAAACAAGGATAAACAGAGGCTTTATTTCACTGGACCACCGCCAAAAAAATTACTTGCTTTTTGCTGTCACCACTCTACATTGCAGATCTTCTTCTTCAGGTTTACAAGCAGAAAACGGGAAATAAAGAGAAATATATCAACTGTTCATATAACAGCTTTTTTTTATCATGATAGAACCAGAAAAATTAGTCACAATAGCTTTTTTTTGGGGGGGGAAGAGCTACAAGCGGGATGATCTTTGCCCCACTTTGGTGCGACTGTTGAATAAAAGATAGCACAGTACAAAAGATCGGCTTCACTGATTCATCGCGAGAACCAAGACCATGCGACTAGGCAAATAAACCTGGACATAGTTCTTCCGGTTGTTCCATTCCATCTTGGTGGTAAAGTACTCGGACTGGAGATCCACCCGATCATGGCCCCCAAAGCGCGCCTTTTCATCACTACATAGTGCAACGTGGTATTTCCCCTCCCATTCCACTCCGATTCGGTAATCAGTGTAAGACTGGGTCGGATGAAAGTTGAATATAAACAATAATGGCCCTCGCTCAAATGCAACTACCCTGTCAGACTGTCAAAGCGAAAAAAAAGAGACATTGGTTGGGATTAATGGGGCGTTCCGGAGATTCATGGGTTAAGAAGAACAGGCGCTTTGAAACAAAGAAGCAATCGCTGAAACCTACCTCGTGTTTGAGAGAAACATAAGTGTGGGGGCTAGAAAGCCACTTATACTTAGACTCCAGGTTGTTCATAGCGGCGTCAAAGTTATTGAGGTATTTGTAGCGTAGCAAAGGGTCATCGACCACGTTCCATTGTCGCCGTGCGTAATGGAACGAGTTTCCATTTCCCTCTCGAGGAAAATCCAGCCATTCAGGACTTGAAGAAAAGGAAAGGAAAATGCGTTTATGTCTTGATCAGATTCAAAATCATCGATAGATCGGTTCTGACCGGATGGCTCGTCACTTACTGCCCAAATTCATTGCCTTCGAAATTCAAATATCCTTCACCTCCAAGAGCATGGGTTAAAAGTCTATAATAGGGATCAATCACGAGATAACGATTGGACAAATGGCAGAACCCTCAAAGGTTTTATTTACCTGATCATCTTGTGCAAAGCCAGACCTCGATCGATGACAGGCGTAAGCGGGGTCAAATCGCTCATGTTGGTATACATTTCCTTGTCCATTAACCAGAAGGCCAAGGTTTTGTCCCCAACAAGAGCTTGATCGTGACTTTCGCAGTAGCAGATGGATTTTTCTCGGTATCGTCGGTTGGTTAATGTGAAGCAAATTGATCCCAAATCCCACTCCTCGTCCCTCTTTTCCTTCAGCAGCTTGATCCACATGTCAGGCACTGCCATCGATAAACGATAGTCAAAGCCAAGGCCGCCTTCGGTGGTTGGTCGACAGAGCCCAGGCATTCCAGAAACATCTTCTGCAATACTGATTGCTTGAGGATTAATGGTGTGAACCAATTGATTGGCCTGATATGTCAATTGCAAGTCTTGGTCAATGATTGCGTCCTAGAGGGCGATATGAAATGAAAGCACTCAAGACTTACTAGCATCAGATACGTCACTCCCTCTTCGTCAACACTGGGTCCGAAGTATTCATGATAGCCACCTGAGAAACCAGTTCCAATGCCATGGTGGGTGTACAGCATGCTCGTCACGCCATCAAATCTAAATCCATCGAACTTGAAATTTTCCATGAAGAACCTGAGATTCGAGAGCAAGAATCGTAGTACCTCATGATGGCCATAGTTAAACAAACGGCTGCAATGGGATAACACAAAGTATCATTGAGTGACAATGTATTATGTCAGTTTGGAAGTCTCTGAATGCACCTGTCCCATAGTTCATGACGTCCCTTCCCGCCTTCATGGAAATAACAGTGATCGGTTCCGTCAAACATGTTGATTCCATCCAAGACATTTTTGCAGGCATGGGAATGGACCACAT